CACACATTCACAGACACACACTCACACACACAGACACACTCACACATATACACACTCACACACAGACACACTCACACATATACACACATACTCACAGACACACACTCACACACACAGACACACTCACACACACAGACACACACACTCACAGACACACAGACACACTCACACACAGTCACACACACAGACACACACACAGACACACTCACACACACAGACACACACACTCACAGACACATAGACACACTCACACACAGAGTCACACACACAGACACACACACTCACAGACACACACACAGACACACACTCAAACACAGACACACACTCTCACACACAGACACACACTCACACTCACAGACACACACTCACACAGACACACTCTCACACACAGACACACACTCACACTCACAGACACACACTCAAACACAGACACACACTCTCACACACAGACACACACTCACACTCACAGACACACACTCACACAGACACACTCTCACACACAGACACACACTCACACTCACAGACACACACATACACACACAGACACACACTCACACTCTCACACACAGACACTCACACTCACAGACACACACTCACACAGACACACACACTCACAGACACACAGACACACTCTCACACACAGACTCACACACAGACACACTCACACACACATAGACACACACTCACACACAGACACACTCACACAGACACACTCACACACACAGACACACACACACAGACACACACTCACACTCACAGACACACACTCACACAGACACACAAACACACACATACACACACAGACACACACACTCACAGACACACACTCACAGACACACACTCACACTCACAGACACACACTCACACAGACACACAAACACACACATACACACACAGACACACTCTCACACACAGACACACACACTCACAGACACACACTCACACAGACACACACACTCACAGACACACAGACACACTCTCACACACAGACTCACACACAGACATACTCACACACACATAGACACACTCACACACAGACACACTCACACACAGACACACTCACACACAGACACACTCTCACACTCACAGACACACAGACACACTCACACACAGAGTCACACACAGATACACTCACACACACAGAGACACACACACAGACACACTCACACACAGACACACAGACACACTCACAAACATATACACACTCACACACACAGACAGATACACACTCACACACACAGACACACTCACACACAGACACACACTCACACACACAGACACACACACGAAGGCCAAGCACCTACACATAAAACAAAGATGAATGTGTCTGCGCATCTGCTGGGGCTGGAGAGACGGCCAGCAGTAGGCGCTCTCACTGCGCTTTCAGAGGACCCTAGTTTGGTTCGCAGCACACATATCAAGTGGTTCACGGCCATCTGTAACTCCAGCCCTGGGTGGTCTGATGCCTTTAGCTTCTACGGCCTTTGATACCCACATGCTCACATTACATGCAGACACAGTTAAAACAATACTAGATTCTTAAAAATAAAAAGTAAGTAGGGGCTGGAGAGATGGCTCATAAGAGCTGCTCTTCCAGAGGCCCTGAGTTCAATTCCCCCACAACCACATGGCTCACAGCCATCTATCATGAGCTCTAGCGCCCTCTTCTGGCACACAGGCAGAACACTATACATAATAAATCTTTTTTTAAAAACCAGTAAGTTCATCTTTTTAAAAATTAGAAAGGAAAACCCAGGTGGTGGTGGTCCACACCTTTAATCACAGCACTTAGGAGCAGAGGCAGGTGGATCTCTGTGAGTTTGAGGCCTGCCTGGTCTACAGAGCAAGTTCCAGGACAGCCAGGACTACACAGAGAAACCCTGTTTATAACAAAAAAAAAATTTAAAAAGAAAAACCCCACTCTGCTGTACCTCAGGTTCTGGCCAGCCATTGATGACGGGCTGCGACGGGCTGCCTATGAGCGAGGCGTCAAAGTGCGCTTGCTCGTCAGCTGCTGGGGGCACTCTGAGCCGTCCATGAGGTCCTTCCTGCTCTCCCTGGCTGCTCTTCGTGACAACCACACCCACTCTGACATCCAGGTGGTAAGAACCCAGCCCAGACCACCCCTTCCCCTTTCCCACTGTGCACGGTCCTGGGGACACAGCCCACCCGAACCACAAGGATAACCCAGAGTGTACAGCCACGAGGGGGAGACTATGCATCATGGCTGGTCGGCATCTGGAGAGTGTAGACAGAGCTCCATTACTGAGGTGGGAAGTCACAGGGAGAGGGGCAGGGCTGGGTGAGGCAGACGCAGAGAAAACACCTGCTATACGCTGGCACTCAAGACTTTCCGACAGGCTGTGGCTATGGGTTCATCTCTAGTGTTGTTCTTTCGTTACAGTTATAAGAATGAAAGGGGGGAGATCCCCAGTGCGTGGGGTCCCAAGGTAAGGGACCACGTGGGAGAGCATAGCAGGTTCCATAGCAGGTGAGGGTGGCCGAGGTGGAGGGACTAACACGCCAGGCACCAGGCAGATAGAGCTTGAATGAGGAGTTTAATTAGAAAGGGGAGTGAGGGGGAAGGAAAGAGACAGAGACACTGGGAACAGAAGAGGAGAGGGGGGGAGGGGAGGAGAAGGTAGCTGGTGGCCAGCTGAAAGCAGGAGAGAGAGAGAGAGAGAGAGCATAAGTGGGCAGGGGTCTGACTTTTAAGGGGGTCCTTTGCACCTGCCTGCAGACTAGAACTCATGGAACTCTGGGCTGACCAGAGTACTGCCTGAGTGCATTCTGCCAGGTGACAGAGGCAGGCCAGCGTAATGCCTGAATCCTTACATCTAGGACCTCATAAACCAGGGCTGAGCCCACACACTTGCGATCCCAGCACCTAGGAGGTAGAGGCAAAACATCGGGAGTTCAAGGTTATCCTTGGCTATGTAGTGAATTCAGGCCAATCTGGGCGATGCAGTGAGGCTTGGTCTAAAAGCCAGGCGCAGAGGAGGAATGACAGTCTGTGGAGCTAGAGAGATGCTCTCTAGCTAAGAGAACCTGCTGCTCTTCCAAAGGACCGGATCTCAGCTCCCAGCATCCTGAGTCCGGTAGCTCACAACAACCTGTAACTCCAGCTCCAAGGAATCCTATGTCCCTGTGTGTGGGCACTAGCAAACACACACACACACACACACACACACACACACACACACACACACATACATTTAAAAATCTTTAAAATAGAAGGGAGAGAGAGACAAAGCCAAGACAGATTTTTCTCTAGAAAAAGGGACATCAGAGATGAGGCTTCAGGGTGGATGGAGAGCCCCTGTAGGTCCACATCCCCGCCCCCGCCCCCGCCTCAGCTGGTGTTTACTGAGGACCAGCTGCACTGGGCCCTATTTTGGTCCAAAGTTCTGCCCCACCCCAGAGGAGCTGCCACATGCCTTTCGGGGACACCACTTACATGCCTCCCCCGCCCTCCCGGAGCTGTTCGCAGCACCCCGACTTGCACCTTGCTCCCCTCCCCTCCAGAAACTGTTTGTGGTCCCTGCTGATGAAGCCCAGGCTCGAATCCCCTACGCCCGCGTTAACCACAACAAGTACATGGTGACTGAACGTGCTACGTACATTGGTGAGTGTCCCCAGGCCATGAACATTACCGAAGAAGGGAGGGCCTGGGCACTAGCCCTGCCCACTCCATCAGACCCTTACTCTACCCTTTTCCTCAGGAACCTCCAACTGGTCTGGGAGCTACTTCACAGAGACCGCAGGCACCTCCCTGCTGGTGACACAGAATGGGCACGGTGGCCTGCGCAGCCAGCTGGAAGATGTTTTCCTGAGAGACTGGAATTCCCTATACAGCCATGATCTCGACACCTCAGCGGACAGCGTGGGCAATGCCTGTCGCCTGCTTTGAGGTCCCGCCCAATGCGTAGGCCAAAGCTTTCCAGGGCCCCTTGGACTCAACTCTGGGTCCTGGTTTTTGTCCCCAAGCCCTTGCTTCTGTCTGCCCCATTGTGGCTTCACAATTTCCTCCACTACACCCCTGCCTCTACCTCCACGTCTGCTGGCCTGACACTCTGGGCCCTGGGAACCTAGCAGAGCTAGGGGAGGATCAGGCCCCAAAGGAGTGGGGGTGCATGCTGGGCCCAGACCTTTGGCCTACCCCCTCAAAGGGGCCAAGACTATGATAAGTAAATATTATCTGTACAGCCTGTACTTAACTTCGTGGCGTGAGATGGGATGTTGGTTAGGGGACAGGTGGCATGGATTCTGATGGAGACTTCTCAGCATGTAAAGCACACAAGGCTGGCGTGGGCTGGGCATGCTGTATGTGACCACACTGGCAGGCATGGGCTGAGCAATGCATATGGCAAGCATGTATTGTCCTGAGCATGTTCCAGAACAATGTGGGAGGAACTACTGCTAAATCCTATTGTGTATGGGCAGGGGGTGGGGTGGGGGGGGGCAGAGGCAGACACACAGATCTGACCAGAGCATGTTCTAGGCAGGTCTGAATTCATTCCCACCAGGGTGTTTATACTTAGTATGTCCTGAACGTGAGTGAGCGAGCATGCCCATCACAAATACAGAGAACTAGTCAGTGGTGCTTGCACACTCAAATGGACATTTGTGTCCAGCACAGACCATCCTGAGGGTAGATTCCCCAAAGGGGCCAAGTCCTTGGCTGTTTTGTTTTGGTTTTTTTAGTTTTGAGACAAGGTCTCATAATAAGCTCAGACTGGTCTTGAACTTGTAATGCTCCTCCTGCCTCAGTCTCTCGAGTGCTTGGAATTACGAACCTACTCCACCATGCCAGGTTTAAGTTAGTTTATTTAGGGAACAGGTTACTGTGCCCAACACAGCTTTTCTCTTCCAGTGCCATAGTAGCTGGGCCTCTGGCCTCAGCATGTAGCCAACCAGTCAGAGCCTGGCCGTGGCAGACGTGGGTCCCAGCAGGGCTCCATCCGGGCAGTGCAGGTTCACGAAGTGGTAACAGGCAGGAGCACAGTTTGGAACAGTTATTTATTGAAATAACAGAGGCAATTGGGCCCAGGCACTGTCATGGCCAGTGAGGTGAAGCCCTCTTCCTGACTCTGGCCTCAAGGCCTCGGGCCAGACTCTGAAGTCCTCCAACATTTAGGGTGGGATACAGGCATGTTGCCAGGGGCAGGGAAATAGGAACATTCTGATAGCTATTTTTCTGTAAGAATAATCTGTGGGTTCAAAAAGATAGCTCTAAGGAGCCATTTCAGAGCAAGAGGGGATGCCAGCCCAGCTAGCTCAGACCCCAGAAAACGATAGGGGTGGGGTCCCCATCAATGGTGCCCGCCAACATGCTGCAGAAAGCTAGTGGTCCTGGGTGGCCCATGTGGGTGGGGATGACGGGCTGGGAGCCCTTGAGCTCGAGACCCTCGGATGCCCTCTAGGGTCCATTCTGGCTCATTCAGCCACTCTCCAGGACAGCTGCTGGGATCAAAGAGCTCAGGGCCTGACCTCTGTTGGGGGAAGAGAGAGGAACATCAGCATGAAGTATGGGTGCCTGCTGATGTGTATACCTGCCTACCGGGAGGGACAAGCAGGCATGAAGGCCCTCGCTCTCCGTGCAGGGTTTCCCACATTGTAGTCGGGTATTAGGGATAGGAACCAGGCTCATGCTAGGCAAATGCTGTGCCTCTGGGCCACACTGTCAACCCCTCACTGGAGAATTTTAGGCAAGTGCTCTAGGGTTAACTTATATCTCCTTCCCCTCACATTGGACTGCCCCTGAAGGGGAGTCCCCAGTCCCTCACTGCTGGGTACTAGGCAAATATTCTACTGCAGAACCAAATCTCCACCCCTTTTGGGTGCGGAGGTGGCGTTAGTATTTGTCTTTAGAGGTAGGGTGTCGTTATGGAGCCCAAACTGAATTAGACCGTGAGGGCCCCCTCCTGTCTCACTTCCCGGGATTACAGGTAACGTGCCACACCACGGAGCACCTTGCCCATCACTAGGTGCCTATTTTCTGCCCCAGCCTTAATTAGAGTATAAGCCTTGAACTGTCCTGAGGGTGCTAGTGTGAACTGAGCCTTGTCACCTTGTGTAGGAGGTCAGTGTTTACTGATCCTTAGGGCCCGGGTGTAGGTAGGTGACAGAATGCTACAGCTGTAAGAACCACAGCCCTATTACCCGTGCAGTAGCATAGGCTAAGGTCTAGAGAGGCCGAGACCCAGGCTGGGTGCCAGTGTGTGCACCCTGCTTACCTCAGTATCCATGGTCCTGTCTTTGATGTTGGGCCCATCTCCTTCCCGTTGTGGGATGACAGATGGCTCTGTGGAGGTCCCTCGGCCTTCTCCTTCCTCCCAGCCACTTCCCCGACAGGGCCCACCATCCTCTGGTGAGGCCTGGCTTAGCCGGATGAGGTTACTAAAGTTGGAGTCAGATTTGGAGCCCGCTGGGGCCTTTCGGGCCTTGTGGCGGCCAGTCAAGCGGCTACCGTAGAAGGCCAGGATGGGCTCCGGGCCTGAATCAGGGACTCGATGGCCAGTATTGGCTACTTTGAGTGGGGCCAACATGTCAGAGACCATGTCAGCCCGTGTGTCGCTCCACAGCCCTCTCCTGGCCTCCTGCAGACTCAAGTCATCAAGCTGGTCGATGGCCCTCTGCATTCCGGGAGCCTTCTCCTCCCTGAAGAAGGGTCCACTGCCTGCCACGCCATCCAGGCCTGCAGTGTCCTCCTCCTCAGCCAGGCGGTAGTAGGGAGGTCCATCCTCTGCGCCGGCTAGGACAGGTGGGGGCGGCTTGCCATCCACCTGCAGGGACAGACGACAGCCTCGAAGTGACAGCTGATAGTAGCGGGTGGCCTCGTGGGCACTGCGCAGCTGCTGCATGGACACGAAGGGGTGTCTCAGGGCCGCGCTGGGACTGATGCGCTCATGAGACTCCCACGTCAGCATGCGTTTGATCAGCTCTACCATGCTCTTGAGGTCTGCGTGTTCCGCCAGCGCCTCCCGGTCTGGGAAACTCAACCGACTCACAGGCCCGCCGCCATTCACCGTCTCAATCTGGTCCAAGGATTTGAGCATGTACTTGCGGCGCTCCAGTGGGCGGACCTGGTGGGGCATGGGAGACACCAACGCCGGGTGGAAATGTGTCTAGGCTCAGGGCTGCAAAGATCACCTGCTGTGAGAGCCAAGTAGGCTCCCCCTGACTGGGAGCTCTCTGGCTACATCGACTGCCCAGTCTGGCCCCTCATACCTGATCCTGCATTTCCAATCCATAGCTCTCCTGCCATGGGGAAGGTATGCAATAACGTTCTCTGGTTGTCCTGTTACCTAACTCAGGCCCTACACTTCACCTAGGCCTTCAGTCCAACCCAGAGACATGGCTGTGACCTTCTGATTTGCTGTCCCACCAGATTTGTTGGCCCACCCAGGTTACAACTAACTCCTGAATTTCTGCCTCTCCTCCCCCCCCCCCCCAAGGTCTAACCTAGATTGTTTTCAATACAGCAGGGCGACACTCCCAGCACAGACTGGCTTCACCCTGCCTGCTTCCCCGCATACCTTAGTCTCAGCTAGGTAGTCGGCAGAGGACTTGAGCTGCCAGGGGTTGGTGGCATCGGGGTGGGGGTTCCTCTTGAAGAAGTGGTGAGCCTTGCGGGCAGCGTGCAGCAGATGGGGTTTGGGCAAGCCCTGCGTCTCACAGATGTACCGCACCTGGTCATACTCATTGTTGCCGGGGTAGAGAGGCCAGCCCAGGTGTAGCTCGGCCATGACGCAGCCCAGAGACCACACGTCCACCTTCTCGCAGAAGGGCAGCCCCAACAGGATCTCTGGGGCCCTGTAGAAGCGGGATTGGATGTATGGTTCCTTCACATAGCGCACCTCACTGAATATGCTGGCCGAGCCGAAGTCGATCACCTGTGGAAGGCAGAGGGCACGGGACACAGGGCAGGTGGGCTGGTGGGGTGAGGGGTGACCACACTGGGCCCCTCCTGGGACTCATCCCTGCATCTGCCTAGTTCTGTGCCTTCAGGACTTTTTTTTTTTTTTTTTTTTTTTTTTTTTTTTTGGTTTTTCGAGATGGGTTTCTCTGTGTAGCTTTGGATCTCACTCTGTAGACCAGACTGGCCTGGAACTCACAGAGGTCCACCTGCCTCTGCCTCCTGAGCTCTGGGGTTAAAGGCGTGTGCCACCAATGCTCGGCTGAGACTTCCTTTCTTACAAATGTCCCTGTCTCTGTCATCTAGCTGTTGTTTCTGAGTTAGGTGCTAGGTCTGGTTCTGTCTCTGAGTCTCTGTGCTTGAACTTGCCTGCAATAGTTGGGACCACCCACCTGAAGTGCCTCCTGAAGGGCAGCGCCGTGTAGTAGGCGAGTGGTCTCCCGTACCCCCTGCCCTTTGTTGGTTTTGAGACAGGGTCTCATGTATCCCAAGCTTCAAAATGGCTATGTGGCCAAGGATGAGCTTGAACCCCTGCCCTCCATTCCCTACCTCCCAAGGGCTGGGATTATAGGTGTGCATAACCAAGTGCATCCCACAACTATCATTCGGATATTTCACATACTCTATATTCACTTGTATGTAGTTTGTATGTGGGGGCGGGGTTCATGCACATGTGGGTGTTGTCATCACCCATGTGTGCATGTGCGGGAAGGAGATGGATGTTAGGTATCTTCTAGCACTTTACCTTATTTTTTGAGATAGGGTCTCTCACTGAACCTGAACTCACTATTTTGACAAGATTACCAGACCACTGAGTTCTTATGACCACTGAGTTCTTATGACTACTGAGTTCTTATGACCACTGAGTTCTTATGATTCTCTTGTCTTCCCTTATGACCCCTCAGCCCTGGTACTATAAACCCAAGCCCAGATATAATGGTGCTGGGGGTTGAATTTAGGATCGTCTGCTTCTTGTGTACAGTGAGAACTTAACTCACTGGGGCTGGAGAGATGGCTCAGTGGTTAAGAGCACTTACTGCTCTTGCAGAGGACCCAGGTTCAGTTCCCAACACCCACAGGGCAGCCCACACCTGTCTTTAACCCTAGTTCCAGAAGAATCAGATGCCCTTACTGGCCTCCTGGAACAATGTGTAATAATACATGCACAGGCACTGACACATAAACTAAATTAGCCTGGCAGTGGTGGCACACACCTTTAATCCCAGCACTTGGGAGGAAGAAGCAGATGAATGATCTCTGGGAGTTCGAGGCCAGCCTGGTCTATACATCAAGTTCCAGGACAGGATACAGAGAAACCCTGTCTCGAAAAACCAAATAGATAGATAGATAGATGACAAAGAAAATTCTAGTCCCATGAAAACAAGACCCTTGTTCATTCAAGGCTGTGACTCTAGAGGTCCGGAACAGCTCCTAGTACATTTTAGGCCCAGGAATGAGTGATGGTAAGCAAGTGGGTGTTTCAGATCAATTGCTACTTTCCTTCTTTTATTTGCATGTCTGTCTCCCATGGTACCGGAGACTGAATTTAAGGCCTCATGCATATTAAGCTAATATTTTACTACTGAGCTAGGCTCTCAACCTTTTTTTTTTTTTTTTTTTTTTTTTTTAGACGGGGTTTCTCTGTGGCTTTTGGAAGCTATTCTGGAACCAGCTCTTGTGCTCTTGTAGACCAGGCTGGCCTCGAACTCACAGAGATCTGCCTGCCTCTGCCTCACAAGTGCTGGAGTTAAAGGCATGCACCACCACTGCCCAGCTAAGAGTTTTTCCTTTTTTTAATATTTATGTACTTGAGTGTTCTGTCTCCATGCACACCGGAAGAAGGAATCTGATCTTATTACAGATGGTTATGAGCCACCATGTGGTTGCTGGGAAATGAACTCAGGACCTGTGGAAGAGCAGCCAGTGCTGCTTTTAACCTCTGAGCCATCTCTCCAGTACTGTGAGAGTTTTTTAGGTTTATTTTTTTATTCTGTGCGTGCATGCGCACATGCCCTTGAGAATAACCATGCACATGTGTGTTGGAATCCTCTGAGGCCTGGTGAATCAGATACCCCTGGAGCATCCTTTGCAAGAGCAGTCTGGGCATGTAACCACTGAGCCTCTATCTAGCCAGCTCCTGGATTTAAAAAAAAAAAAAAACTTAGTTAGCTAATTAGCCTAATTAACTAATATAAAAACTTAAATTAGTGTTCTGAGAAAGGGCCTCTCTAATATCCCTGGCTGTCCTGGAACTTCCTATGTAGACCAGGCTAGCCTCGAACTCACAGAGATCTCCCTGCCTCTGGCTCCTAAGTGGTGGGATTAAAGGCATGCACTACCCTGCCAGGCATAGTGTTTGGCCTTTTGAAACAGGGTTTCATGTACCCCACACCCATTTCGTAGTCTAGGGTGACTTTGAACTCCTGATCCTCCAGCTTCCCCCTGCCAAGTACTGAGATTACATGTATGTGCCAACACAGTGGGCCTTAACCATTTATGTCGAGGCTGCTCTTAGTTTCTGAGGCAGACCTTGAATTCATAATAACCCTGCCTCAGCAGCCGGAGAAACAAGGATTACAGGCCTGCATTACCAGGTCTAGCTCCTCTCTGGAGCTTGCTCTCTGTCCCCAACTGCCTCTTCACAGCTAATCTCTCATCTCCCAGTGTCTCTGTCCTGGTTTCTGTGTTGTGAACTAGGAAGGAACCACCCTGAAAGCCAAGTCCTCTATGATCTTCACCCTCAGACATCGTCAACACCCTGGGGGCCCTCAACAGGCCACCGGCTGTGGGGAGGAGACTGTGTCTCTCCCCTCGCCACCAGGTGGCGCCCTGCTGGTTTCACTGAATCCCTGTGACTCACTAGAGGCCATGGCTTCCTTCTCTGCCTTGCACTCAGCCACCCTTCATCTTCCACACACACAAGGTTGATCATAAATTAACTATTGGTCTCGACTCACAATCCCTGAGAGCTTGAGTGACACTGGGCGTTGAGCCAATGTTTGTGGGGTGCGTTCATTCTGATTGCACTGTAGGGGTGCCTGTGACAACCCCACTCCCCAGACACTGTGAGCCCTGCTAGGTTTACACACTGTCCTTCCACCCCTCAGGGCAGAAATACCCATCTCTTTCTGTCTCTAAGGCTCTAACATTTAGGGTGTTGCTGGGAGAGGCCAAGGATCACAGGCAGCTTTGGTCCAGCCCCACCCTTGGGTGCTGCCCTTGATGATAAATGTCCAAGCAAAGCCTGGGCTCTGATGGAGGCGCAGAGGGGTGTCTGAGGAGCTTGATGGCCACAGACAGAGGATCTGCAGGAGAAGTGAGACTGGGGGGGGGGGCAGAGGAGACCACCCTGGTGCCCACCCAGGGGCAAGGACAGAGGGCAGAGCCACCTGGCTTGCAGATGCCTAGGCCAGCAGGCTCTGGGCCCAGTTGAGTCACCTGTTTCTTCCTCTCAGACATTTTTTTAATGATTTATTCTTATTTCATGTCTATTGGTTTTGCCTGTATGGGGGTGTTGGATTCCTTGGGACTAGAGTCACAGATAGTCTCAAACTGCCATGTGGGTGCTGGGAACTGAACCCAGGTCCTCTAGAAGAGCTGTCAGTGTACCACTGAGCCATCTCTCCAGGTCTGTCTGTTTGTTTTCGAGACAGGGTTTCTCAGTAGCTTTGGAGCATGTCCTGGAACTCACTCTATAGACCAGGCTGGCCTCAAACTCACATAGATTCTCCTGCCTCTGCCTTCCAAGTTCTGGGATTAAAGGCATGGGGCACCGCCTGGCTAACACTTTTTTTGATAGGGTCTCAAGTAGTGCAGCCTGGCCTTGAACTTGCTGCACTGCCAAAAGACAACCCTGAACTTTTAATCCTTCTACCTGCCCCCATGCCCAGCTCTCCCTCACACAGTCTCTCTTTTAAACCTAATTAGTTTGGGGGGAGAGGGTATGCAAATACAATGATGTTTGTGTAGAACGACTTTTGGGGGTCAGTTCTCTGTTTCCACCATATGGCTCCTAGGTATTGAACTCAAGTCCTTGGTCTTGGCAGCAAGCACCTTTACTGGCTGAGCCATCTTGCTGGCTCTTTTTCTGAACTGTGAGTGTGTGTGTGTGTGTGTGTGTGTGTGTGTGTGCATATGCACACATGTGTCAGAAGTTGTTAGCCTGGCTCTAGTACTCTACCTTATAATTTGAGACAAGAGCCCTCATGGAACATGGAGCTTGCTGATTGGCAGGCCAACAAGTCCAGGAACCTTCCTATTTCTACCTCCCCGACATGGATATTACAGGTGTGCTGCTACACCTGGTTTCTTATGTGGGTCCTCATGCTTGTTCAGTGGGCACATTACCATCTGAGTATCTCCTAAGCCTCCACCTCTCACACCATGCAACCCACCAATGAATTCTGTTATCTCTAGCTCCGAATCTGCCCAGAATTCACACATATGCCAGCTACATCTTGTTACCTTCTACTTCTGCTTGGATCATCCCATCTGCCTTCTTGACCCCACTTCCCCCACAAGAATGGACACCCAAGCCAGAGCAGGCCCCTTTGCTCTCGTCCATCTATGAGCCCAGCATGCTGGTGTGTGCCTTTGACCCCGTTGTTTGGGAGACAGAGGCAGGAGGATCTTCCACTGAGTTTGTAGCCTGCCTGGTCTACATAGCAAGTTCAAGGCCATCCAGGGATATACTCTCAGATCTTGTGCCCCCCCCCAAAAAAGTAAAACCGGTTTTGACTGGGTCTGAGGAGTCACGCAACCCCACCCTGCCTCTCTGATCTTAATTCATCTGTTTCCCCCGTTCATTCTACTTCATCTCCACAGAACTTTGGAGTTGCTAGAACACTCCAACACCACGGCTCTTATTTCAGGGCCTTCTGCCTGGAAACTGTCTACTCCCCCATGGCCCTCTCCGACCCTCAAGACTCTCTGGTGCCACCTCCCTAACCTCCTCTTTTGTTTGTTTTATTTTTGTTTTTGTTTGTTTTGTTTCTTCAAGACAGGGTTTCTCTGTGTAGCTCTGGCTGATCTGGAGCTCAATTTGTAGCCCAGGCTGGCCTTGAACTCACAGAGACCTGCCTGCCTCTGCCTCCCCAGTGCTGGGACTAAAGGCGTGCGTGCGTCACCACCACTCAGCCCTGACCACCTTTTGTAAATTTCAACCTCCACCACATCCCACGCCTGAGTAATAGCCCGCATCCTCTCCCTCCTGCTTCTACCTCCTTTTCGTGCCTATGGCACGCTTTCCTCCTTACCTGAGTACTGCCGCCCCCACTAGAATGTCAGCCCTGACCTGAGGCAGAGGAGGCTAGCTGGATGGAAGGGTTGGGGAGACTTCAGGGCCTGGAGGGAAAGCACAGAAGACCTCCGGCCTTTGATAGAGAGGACCTGAGAAATGAGGAGGAGAAGCCAGGCATGGTGGTGAATATCTGTAACCCAGACACTTGGGAAGGGGGGACCCTCTCAAATTCTAGATCAGCCTGGACTACGTGAGACACTGTCTCCAATAAACAAAACCCAACAGAACAAGCTGGCCGTGATGACACATACCAATAATCCTAGCACTTGGGGTAGGGGAGGCAGGTAGGTCACGAGTTCAAGTCATCCTCAGCTACACAGCGAGTACAAGGCCAGCCTGTGCCATATGAGACCCTGTTTCAAAAACAAAAAAGGCAACAACAAAACGGGAGAATTGGGATGGGATATGGAAGACTGCTGGGCAGCAGCAAGGAGAGGCAGCTCGGGGAATCGGGGTCACCTCAGAGCCACGTCACGAAACTGACGGGGGAGGCGCACATGTTGGCAGAGCACCCCAGGGTGGAGCAAAGCTGTGTCCCAGGCAGCCTCCCTCACCTTTACCCTGAAGGGGCAGCGGGTCTGGTCCACCAACATGATGTTTTCAGGCTTGAGGTCGGCGTGGATGATGGCCAGCTCCTTGAGGCGGGCCAGCGCTCTTAGCACCTGCAGCGTGACGGTGCGGATGTGGCGCGCGGGAAGGGGTGCGAAGTTGTTCTCTTTCTGGAACTCAAAAAGGTTTTGCTCCAGTAGCTCAAAGACCAGGTAGAACTTGAGGGCGTCGTGGAAGAACTCCAGAAAGCGGATGACATGGGCCTCGTCGGGGTCCAGGCCTCGCACACACCGTAGGAGCTTCAGCTCGTTCTTGATGATGCGGCTTCGGTACGCGTCGTTCTTCAGGATCTTGATGGCCACCATTTCACCTGTGCTCCGACGCCAGCCCTTGGCCACCTCTCCGAAGGTGCCCTTGCCCAGTACCTCGATGATGTCATAACAGTCAGTCTCGGACTGGATTGTGGCCATGGTGCCCTGGCTGCCAGTCACTACCGGGCCCTTACCCCTGAACCACTGGCTTGGTTGCCTAGACCTCCCACCCTGATGCCGACCCTTCAGTCCTAGTGGAGGAAAGATAACCACACTCACGTCTCTCCCTATGAGGTCAGCCCCTGCCTCCCTGGCACCCCTGGACTCCCTTGGCCACACGGTGAGTCTACCAGGGGCTGCACCCCTCCCCCAAGGCCGTCTTGGCTTGGGATGAGGGGGCTCAGGCCCCCCTGAATGGGTTCCAGCGTTGTTGAGTGGCTCCGATTCTGTTGTTAGAGACCTGGGTCCTAGGCTAGAATGGGGGGTGGGGTGCCGTGTTGGCCCCTCCCCCACCCACTGATGGAACCCTGGCGAAGCCCGCAGGGTAGATGCAGAGGGATTGTAATCACTGGCCTTGGGCATTCAGAAGTAGGGACATACCTACAGGCATGTGAGAGAGTGGGAAGAATTCCCACGTTAGAGGAGCGGGTGCGGGGGGGTGTGTCATAGAGGGGAAGTGTGGACAGGGTAAGATCCAGATGGTAAGAGGCACGGAGTGCACGGAACTGGGGAGCCATGGGAGCTTTCAGCAAGGGAATGAGTGGCCAGACCTAACAGAACCTTCACACAGAGAACTTCTGTGTGAGAAAGTTTTTTGTTTTGCAGGCTGCCCGGTAAGCAACTGCTATCCTAACCAATAATTGCAATTCTCCAGTTTGGCTACACAGGCTGCAGTCAGTCAGGAATTCTGTTCCCTGGGTATTGGCTCTATCATCACTACTAAAGGCAACTTTATCTAAAACTATCCATCTATAGACCTCGGGAGTCAACGTTTGAGGAGAAATCCTGCTAGCTCCGAGAGACTGAATAGCAAGTAGCTAATCTCTCCTTGCTGTGTCTCCTCAAAAAGGGGTGTTCTTCTGCTCAGCCCCCACTAAACCACCCTTGCTCACACGCTTTCTCCCTACCACTCCCCCCCCCTTTTTTCTTTTTTTTTTTTTGTTTTTTTTTTGTTTGTTTGTTTGTTTTTTTTTTTTTTTTTTTTGGTTTTTCGAGACAGGGTTTCTCTGTATTGCTTTGAAGACTTAAAGACTGTCTTGGAACTAGCTCTGTAGACCAGGCAGGCTGGCCTCAAACTCACAGAGATCCACCTGCCTTTGCTGGGATTAAAGGCTTGCGCCACCAATGCCTGGCCCTATATTCCCTTTTCAAATGAGCTTGTCTACCACAATTAAAACACCTAACATTTCGATTTGTCTTGATATTTTTAGAAATATGGGGTCCAATATCAACTGTATTTCAGATCTATTGTTCTATGGATTCTGATCTTGCCTTTAAAGGCCCGATCACCTTTTTGCATTCTGGATTAGCATTTTCAAAAGCCAAAGATTCCATTAATATTTGAGACAAGGTTTCTTTGTGTAAGAGCTCTGGCTATCCTTGAACTCACAGAGATCTGCCTGCCTTTGCCTCCCAAGTGTCAGATTTTAAGATGTTCACCACCATGCTCCACTGTGCCTTGTATAATTTTAGTGACTCCAACCTCTTTCCTGATTCTTCAGCCATGTCCCAAGCATTCAAAGCTGCTATATGGCATAGAGTTGGGGTGTTATCATCCACCCTGCCTTTGCAAAATTCTTGGGAAATCTCATGACCTCTAGCTCTAGCTTCCTCTCTCAAGCAGGATCTCTATTGTAACTGAGGACAAACTGCTGTAAGTAAATCCAGTCTTGTGGAATAATTCTATCCTCAGTTGCCCATGAATTTAACATCTGTATAACAAAGGATGCTGTATGAAATGACTGCTTCCCTAAATCTCTTAACTCTAGCATATCTACAGGGTTTCAGTTAACTTCTGCATAGCCTTAGGGATGCATTTCATCCGGTGGTGCTTATTGAATAGTAACTGGACATATTGAAGTTGGTGTTCCAATAACCTTAGCCCAGTCCTCTTCAGTTTCACGATGCAATGGTATGGTAGGTTGAACTATCTGTGTCGGATCTGATAATTTCCTTTCTTTTTCTTTTCTTTTTTTTTTTTTTTTTTTTTTTTTTTTTTTTTTTTTCTTTTTTCTTTTTCAAGACAGGGTTTCTCTGTGTAGCCTAGGCTGGAACTCGCTCTGTAGACCATGCTGGCCTCGAACTCACAGAGATCTGTCTGCCTCTGCTTCCCGAGTGCTGGGATTAAAGGCGTGCGCCACCAATACCTGGCAGTTTCCCATTCTTAACATGGAGGAAAAATTTTCTTTTCAGTATTATCTTATTCTCTCCTGCTCTCCTAAAGGATCTCCCAAGTTTCTCACCAGTTCTGTGGACTTCTCTTGGCCAACAGCAGCCAACTGTTTGGAGCCCCAGACACCAAAGGCAACAGAGCCACCGGCCCCTCCTCCCTTGTAGTTGGGTCCCACTAGGATGTCAGATGTTGTTTTGCATTTGGAACAGTGGCTGCACCTTAAGCAACTGCTGTCCCAACCAGCAATTGGCAGCTCCGAAGCTGCCAGCAGCAATTCAGACACATTGGCCACAGCCAGGCAGAAACTCTTTCCCCTGCCACAGCCGAATCTGATGGGAATGGCAAAAGTCACAAGGCCAGCATGCCTGTTTGACAAAGATATGGCAAAGCCGAGCCACATGATGGCCACCGTGCCCTCTTCATCTCTACCTGTTGCATACTTGGGGGACTTTAATATTTTTACAATTTGGGGGTATTGGATTGATGGAATCATTTAGGCGGCGTTCTCCCAGGAGTACTGCTAGGAAATACTATTTCAAGGGGTGTGGCTTTTATTTATGCTGCGTTTGCTTAACTCGGTGAAGCTGATTCTTTGCCTGTCTCGTCTAAAGCACCTGATGGTCTAATAAAAGAGCTGAATGGTCGGCCAGTAGCTAGGCAGGGATGGCAGGCAGAGAGGATAAACAGGAGAAAGGAGAAATAAGAAAGGAGGAAGGGGAGGGACGAGAGAACAAGGAGAGGAGGGCACCAGGGGCCGCCCGGCCGCCCGGCCGCCCGGCCAGCCACGGAGTGGGAAGGAAAGTAAGACATACAGAAGAAAGATGAAAGCCCCAGCCCCAGGGGGAAAGTAGACAGGTTAATATAAGGAAAGCTGGCTAAAAGCTGGGTGGTGGTGGTGCACGCCTCTAATCCCAGCACTTGGGAGGCAGAGGTATCTCTGTGAGTTCAAGGCCAGCCTAGAACTACTGAGCTAGTTCCAGGACAGCCAGGGCTGTTACATAGAGAAACCATCCTGGAAACCCAAAAGAAAATAAAAATAAAAAGGAAGGAAGAAAGAAAAGCTGGCCAGAAAGAAGCCACACTAAGGCTGCGCACTCATAATTAAGAATAAGTCTGTGTGTGACTTATTTGGGAGCTGTATGTCACAGAGAGACAGTGGAGTCTAGATCCCTGCCAGAGGGACCCTGAATCCTAAGAGGAAGCCAAGTGTTTGAAGCTGAGGCTCTCAATTCCAAAGAAGGAACCAGGAGGTGCCTCCTTGGCTGAGTCCCTGAGTGCACAGGGCAGCCAAACCAGACAGACAGGAAAGGGAGGGTGGAGGCTGGCCTGGTGGCCTTGGTGGCACAAGTCTGTAGTCCTAACTAATCTCAGAAGGCTGAGGCAGGACAACTAAAAACAACTGCAGGACAGCTTGCTCTCCAGAGCAAGATCAAAGCCAGCTTGGGAAACAGGGAAATCTGAAATTAGAAGTTAAGGGGTTGGATGTAGCTCGGTTGATGGAGTATTTGGCTAGCACGGATGAGGCCCTGAACCGAATTCCCAACACCCCATAAAAACCAGGCATGGTGGCCTGTGCCTCCAATCCCAGTTCTGCAGGCAGCACAATCAAAAATCAGGGTCATCCTTGGCTACATTGTTTGAGACTATTCTGAGACATGAGACTGTTTCAAAAAAAGAAAGGTGAACTAGGGGTTCTGGGGAGACCTAGGTTCAAGTCCTAGCACCCACAAGTGTCTGGAGTTTCTGGCCTCCACAGGCACCAAGCAAACATATGATATATCACACACATAAAACAATGTATGTAAAGGTTTTTTGTTTTGTTTTGTTTTTAAGCTGGAGCTGTAGTTCTGGGGTAGAATACATGCCTAGCATATATGAAGGCCCTGGAGCTCAAGCTACCACACTAAAATAGAACCTGGTTTATGAAAAGGGAAAGATGGGCAAAAGTTCCCTTGCAGAGGGGAGTGGGTTCCCCAGAACAGCTCAACTAACATTATATAAGCCTGTGGGGGGCAGGGAGCACAAAGGAGACCTTGTCTCTCTCACACACACAGGAACCAGGACACGTGGCAACTTTGGATTATTTTATTCACATAGTTTGGCATGATATACAGGCACTTCTGCTAACGAGATGGCACGGGCCACTGGCTCCTGGCTGAGTCAGATGCCCACCTCCGAGCCCTCTGAAGATTAGTGCTAGTAGTAATGTCACACAGAATGGGGGTGGGGTTGGACTGGGGGATGGGAAGGCAAGAGAGGAATCCACATCTGTCCAGGGCTTCAGAGGGCAGCAGCCTGCGTCCCCTCCACCCTTGTGGAGCCTGGAGCTGCTGTTTCAGAAAACCCCACACTGGGCAGTCGGACCCTGAATCCACCTTCTTCCCTGTCCCTACTCCCACTCCGGGCCTTGGGGCTTAACGACACTCTGGGAAAGCGGAATTTGGGTGACTTCTCCCCAACTGGGGACTTGGAGGTTGCCTCACCTTCTTGCCCCTTAGACACTTTAGAAGGGGAAGCCAAACCTACACGAGGCAATCGGACCCTGACCCGACCACGGCGACCGGAAGCCCCTTCTGCACTACCCTCTTCCTCCTCCTCAGGGCTCGGAGAGCCTTCTCCAGAGACCGACTCACTTTGGCTGAAGCCCACTCTGGGCAGCCTGAGCTTCGGACTTTTAGCCTTTTCTCCAGCTTCTGTTCCTTCCTTAGCCTTCACCAGACCAAACAGGGGCAGCCGAACCTTGAGTTTGTGTCCCGCATCCCCATCACCTTCGACCACTTGGTACTCAGCGTGGGTGCTCACTGGGGAAGTGAGTTCCACGTCAGGCAACGAGAGCTGGAAGGTACGCTGTGCCCCGGGGTCCTGATGCTCAGTACCCTCTCCTCTGCCCCCTGCCCCCAGCGTGGGCAACTTCAGCTTCAATCCGCCCTCATTCTTGGCTGTGACACCAGCCTGGGCTTCATGGCTCAACCCCACATCCAGCTCTAGCTGGGGCACCGTCACTGTGGGCATCTTGAAGATGCCTTCACCCACTAACAGATCACCACCTGCCACCTGGGTTCCAGGCAGCTCCAGTGTCACCTGTGGCACCTGGACCCTAGAGCCTGCTGTGCCCTCTGCAGAAGGGGCTATCATGTCAATGCCTGTCTCCCGGAAGCTGGTCAGTTCCACCTGGGGCAGTGAGATGCCCAGTGTGGGCGCCCTCACCACCCCCGCCTGGCCCTCTGCAACCACCTGCCCAGTGGTGGACACCTTCAGGCCTGCCGCTTTCACTCCATTGGCGACCTCCTCTGCCTCCTGAGCTCCTGGTGTGACCAATTCCACCTCGGGGATCTTAAGCTGCCCGGCTATGGCCCCCAGTTTCTCCCCAGGGCTAACCCGTCCATCCTCAACGTCTACGTCTTTCCCTCGGGACAGCCCAAAAGAAGGTATCTTCAGCTTTGGTACTCTCACCTTCCCATCCCAGCCCCGGCCCTTTCCCTCAAGCTCAGCCTCCCCCGCAACTAGTACTTCGGCTTCAGAGTCCCGGCCTTTCACCCCAAACTTGGGCAGAGCAAACCTGGGCCCCTTGGGCTTGCTGTCAGCCCCTGCGGCCTCCACTTTGCCCGAGGGCAGATGAGCATCCAGGCTGAGCTGTGGGATGGACAGGTCCAGGGCAGGCAGCAGCCCTGCTTCCCCGGTGCCCTTGGCTCCGGCTTCGGTCCCCGCTCGAGCTTTGGGGAGCGAGATAGCAAACTTGGATACCTTCAGCTTGGTGGCTCGCCCAGACCCCTCCACCTCTGCCTTGACCACTTTGGACCCCGAAAGTCCAAATTTAGGCAGAGAGAACTTGGAAGTGGGTTTGACTTTCATTTCTACCATCTCTAGCTGCTCTTTCTCAGCTTCAACGGTGGGCAACTGTGGAGTAACAATCTCCACAGAGGGCACCCGGAAGCCAACCTCTCCAACACCTGCTCCCGCCCTGGGGCCCTCTGGCTTCTCCACTTTGCCTGAGGGGGCTTCTTGGACTTGTCCTCCTAGGCCCAGGGCCCCAGGCAAGTCAAGCTCCACAGAGGGCAGAGAGAGGGAGGGGACCCCAACTCGGGCCACCTCACTGCCCACCTCTGGCTGCAGACAGGGAAGTGTCGTGAGTTTTCCTGGAACCTCAGTCACTGTCTCACTGGGCTTGCCCACCTTCCCAAACTTGGGCATTGTCACCTTGGGCAACTTGAAACTAAACTCAGTCCCTTCTGCCTGCTCCACCCCGGCTGCTGCTCTTCTCTGCACCTCAGGAACTGCGGACAGCTTCATCTCTGGCACCTTGGGCAGACGCACCTCTGGGACCTGTGACACTTGAATCTCAGGCAGTCGAACGTCTGACACTTTAGGCAGCTGCAGTTCTGGGAGGTGGACATCAGGCACGGCCATCTCGGGCACTTTGGGGAGTTTTATTTCCGGAAGCTTCATTTCTGGAAGTTTCATATCAGGCACTTTAATCTCTGGCACTTTGGGCAGCTGGACTTCTGGAAGTCGAACATCGGGTACAGCCATCTCGGGCATCTTAGGGAGCTTCATCTCTGACACTTTGGGCAGCTGGACTTCTGGAAGTCGAACATCGGGTACAGCCATCTCGGGCATCTTAGGGAGCTTCATCTCTGACACTTTGGGCAGCTGGACTTCTGGAAGTCGAACATCGGGTACAGCCATCTCGGGCATCTTAGGGAGCTTCATCTCTGACACTTTGGGCAGCTGGACTTCCGGGAGTCGTACATCAGGCATGGCCATCTCAGGCACCTTTGGGAGTTTCATTTCTGGGAGCTTCATTTCTGGAACTTTCGGGAGCTGTACATCTGGAAGGTGTACATCAGGCACGGCCATCTCAGGCACCTTTGGGAGCTTCATCTCTGGGACTTTCATCTCAGGGACTTTGGGTAGCTGTACCTCCGGAAGGTGAACGTCCAGTACGGCCATCTCTGGGATCTTTGGAAGCTTCATCTCTGACATTTTGGGCAGCTGTACCTCCGGGAGTCGCACATCTGGAATGCCTGCCTCGGGCACTTTTGGGAGTTTGACATCTGGAACCTTAGGGAGCTTCACTTCAGGCCCTTTGGGTGCCTTGACCTCAGGCCCAGCCACACCAATGCCAAAAGAGGGCATCTTGAGGGTGGGTAGCTTCAGCTTGCTCTCAGGGACAGCTTCAGGGCCAGAGGGCCGGGGCTCCAGGAGAGAAAGCCCAAAGGTGGGCATTCGAAGTCTGGGACCCTTTGCTTTGACCTCAGGGCTGCCCTTGACTACCTTGGCTTCAGTAGCTTCCTTCCCTCGAACCCCAAAGCGGGGGAAACTGAGGCGGGGCATCTTCAGGGCCACCTCAGGTACCTCTCCAGGGGCTTCCACCTCTGCACCTGGCAAAGCCAGGTCCACCCCCACAGAAGGTGCTGCCACGTCCAGGGTGGGGACTTTGACCACTGCAGCCCCTTCCTGGGTGTCCAGGCATGGAAGTGTGGGAAGCGAGGGCAAGGTGGGGAGCTCTACTTGTGGAACCTGGATTCCTACAGCTGGGGGTTCCACATCTGGTACAGCTGGGGCTCCTAGCCCAAGGGTTGGCAGGTGAAGGGCAAAGCCGCTGGCTGCCTCTGTTGACGGGGTCCCCTTGGGAGCTGACACCTGAGGGACACCCACCTCAGCACTTGGCAGCCGAGGCCCAACTAGCTCTAGCTGAGGGGCTGTGAACCCAACTCCCGTGGCCACCTCGGCCTCTGCCTTTGCCTTCCTCGGGGGAGGAGCAGCAGCCGCCATTCGGGCTACCTGGGCCTCTTCGGCCACTTCTCGGACACGTAGCCGAGGCAGCTGGAGACGTCGACGGGCAGGGGCAGCCTGGACAGGTCCCTTGGCAGCCTCGGCTTTGAGACCCCGACGCAGTCGGGAGAACTTGGGAAGGGAGAACTCGACGTCAACAGGGGCCAAATCTGTAGGGGTCCCCAGGGCCCCTGGCACCATCTTCTTCTTCTTCACAGGGGACAGACTCTGGATGTTCTGAGGAAAGAGGAGAGAGGCAGGGGAGAGGAGGCTGTGGGACAGTGGGAGACTGGGAGTGGACAGAAAAGGTAAATCCCACCTAGTATTACACCAGGCTGGGGATGTACTGGGGTAGAGTCTCCCCCAAAACACCATCCACCTTCCTGCCTGCCACTTCACCCCCAGGAAGGCAATGACTGTCATTTAGAATCTCACTGTGAATGGACAGGGGTGGCCCCTATTCAGGATCCCCCCCCCCACGTCCTCATTGTAGAGATGAGGAAACACAGACTCAAAGAGGAAAAGAAACTTGGGTCACTCAGTAACCCAACAGCCCTTAGGCTAGAATCTGGTCTTCCAGGAGGAAGCCTGGTTCCCATGGTGGGGGGGGGGGGAATGGGTGACAGACACCTTTTGATTGGTGCATCCTTCTCCCTCTCCCCCCAGGGGGGCGGAGTTTATAAACAGCGAACAAGGGGCAGAGGGTGTATTAGTGTTGGGTTAGTGATAAGACAAAGGGACAAACTGGGCCACGATGGCAGGGAGTAGGGTTTTTACGACGCAGAGACCGGGTCGCTGGGACAGGCCTGGGCCGGGACCGGGCTAAGCACGCGTACCAGCTTGGCCACTTTGGCCCGCGGGCCCTTCATCTCGTAGCCAGACACCGTCCCAGGCCGCAGCGCCAGGTCCCCCGTGGGCACAGTGCGCTTCAGGCAGAAGGAGACCTTGTAGGGCTCAGCGCATTGCAGCAGGCGAAGTGCGTCCTCATACTTGAAGTTCTCAAAGAACACGCGAGCACTCAGCAGCTGATCCCCTGCAAGCAAGGCGGAGGTGGGCGGGGAGTGAGTTCTCCTGGCTCCACCCACACTGGGGCACGCCCACTTCCTAGCAGTCTACCCGGCTGATCTGGGCCTCTGGCTCACGAGAGGAAACCTCAGAGGTAAAGGTTCTAGGAATGAAACTGGTTCCATTGGTTTTAGCTACTCCCCTTTCCAGATTGAACCAATCCTCTCAGGCCACTTATGGTCGCCTCCATCCTCTTATTTCATCCTCATCATTCAGACAGTAACATCCATCCGTCAGAAAGTAACATTCATGAGCGCCAGCAGGGGTTTCGTGTAGTTCAGTTTATTATATAGCAGAGGATGATCTTAAACCCCTGATCATTCTGCCTCCTCCTCAAGTGCTAAGATTACAGGAATGTCATCCACTCCCGGCTATATGGCAGTAACGGAACTAGAGATGTAGCTCTGCCATACAACATGTATGCCTAGCGTGAAGGATATCCTGGGTTCAATCTCCAATACCACACATACATACAAAAGACACACTGACAGACGATTCAGATCTGGAATGTTCTTTGTCTAGACATGCTAGCCTCAAATTAGCAGAGATCCACCTGTCTCTGCTTCCCAGGTGCTAGGGTTAAAGAAGTGTCTTGAAAAATTTAATCATGGAAGAGCACCAATGTGGAAGGCCTGGACAGCTGCTGTAACTAAAAGAATCCTAGAACATTTTGCCTTCTCTATGCAGATCACAAAACTGTAGGGACATTGACATCAGAATCTCAGAGCGGCAGGCCTGATGGCGCAGGCTTGTGCTCCCAACTACTGGAGACTCAAGTAGGAGGACCACAAGTTCAAGGCCGGCCTGGACAAGTTAGCACGATTGTTTAAAAATAAAAAGCAACAGCAGCGCTGGCGTGGTGGCTCACATCTTTGATCCTAGCACTCAGGAGGCAAAGACAAGCAGAGCTCTAAGGCCAAGCTGGTCTACAGGGCTAGTTTCAGGGCAGTAAGGGTTACCCAGAGAAACCCTGCCTCAAAAGAAAAAGGGAAAGAAGAAACAAGGTCCTCTGGAAGAGTAACCGGTGCTCCTAAATGCAGAGCCATCTCTCCAGCCTCAGTGGTAGTGGAGACCAAACCCAGGGCCTTATGCATGCTGGACTATGTCCTACCCCTGAGCCACTCCCTGGGACCTTATGTGTGGCCTCTAGGCAAGCCTGCGACCACTGAGCCACAACCCTAGTCCTCTTTTTTACTGTTTTCCAGGCAGGATGTTACTAAGTTGCCTGAATAGACCTTTACATTTCTATTCTCCTGCCTCAGACTCCTAAATAGTTTGGTTTTGGTTTTTGAAACAAAGTCTCCCTATGTGGTCTGGGTTAGTCTTGAACTGAAGATGCTCCTGCCGATAGGTGGTGGGGGGGGTAACCAGGCACAGCTCCAGATTATGTCTGATACAGTGTAAATGCTAAAAAAATACTTGTTCCTTTGGTTTTTTTTTTTTTTTTAAGATTTATTCCTTCTTACTTTATGTGTATGAGTAGACAGCACAGAGGCCAGAGGAGGCCATGTGACCCCTAGAAAGAGTTGTAAGGAACCATTGTGAACCACTCTGTGAGTGCAGGGTACTGAACCCAGGCTCTCAGCAAATGCTCTTAACTGCAGGGCCACCTCTAGCCTCTCTGCTGTGTTGTTTAGGGGATAATAACAAAAACGTCCAGACATGCTCAGTATGCCCCCCCCCAAATCTTTTCAGTCTCTAATTGGCTACACTCTCAGATACAGAATTCACAAATGTGAAGTGTGGCTGGTCTATCCAGCTGCCCCCCCCCACTCCTCCAGCTGGGCATGCAAGAGACAGCTCTGATGGGTCTGATGATGCATGAATGTCATCCCAGTGACCCTTGGGAGGCTGGGGCAGGAGAATCTTGAATCTAAGGCTAGCCTGGATAACACAGGGAGACTGTCTCAAAAAATAAAACCAGATGGTGCACGCTTTTAATCCTGGCAGAGGCAGGCAGATCTCTGTGAGTTTGAGGCCAGCCTGGTTTACAGAGCGAGTTCCAGGACAGGCTGCAAAGCTACAGAGAAACCCTGTCTCAAAAACAAAAAAAAAAAAAAAAAAAAAAAAAAAAAAAAAAAAGAAACAGCTAAGGCGAAGCATTTTGGATCTTCCATCCTGCAGCACTTGGGAACCTGGCAACTTCTCTTTCTGTTCCTTTCTCTTTTGTTTGGATGATGTTCGGGGCCTGAGCATGTTTTCCCTGGCAATGTTTTCTTGCTCTTTCTCTGAGGCTCCCAGACCCCTTTAGCCACGTGGCCGCTTATTAACCTCCATTGCTTCCCTGGACTCAAACGTAAAAGGACTGGCTTTCTTTCGCTCTTCTGCTCCCTCCTCTCAGCAACTGCTAAAACATACAGCTTGCCCAGCACTGCTGGCGCACTCCTTTAGTCCCAGCACGGGGGAGGCAGAGGCAGGTGCATCTCTGTGAGTTCGAGGCCAGCCTGGTCTACAGAGTGAGTTCCAGGACAGCTAAGGCTACACTGAGAAACCGTGTCTTGAAAAACAAACAAAAACAAACAAACAAACAAACAAAAAAAAAAACCTTTGGTGTTTTTCTCCCAGTATGAAATAAAATTGTCCTTGTGTTTTAGAACAAACAAAAACACCTACACCTCGTCCGTCTTCAAACAGGTATCAGCAGGTACTCCATACTCAGGTAAAAACTCCTGGGGAGTTCTGGGGCTGAAACCTAGGGCCTCATCCATGCTAGCCAAATGCTCTACCCACCGAGCTACAGCCTCACCTCAAAGTGACCCCCCAGGAATATCCTTGAAACCTCCCTCTCCATCACACACCACACCTAGATCCTGGATATCCTGGATCCAAATCCTTTTCACTCCCAACAAGCCCATCCGTGGCCTGAGCACCATCATCTCATTGCAGAGATGTCCTGCTGGTGATCTTGCTCCCAATGCTGCCTCATACAATCAGACCACGGTGAATGAAGCAGCTCGACAAGATGCATCCCAGCTTCTCTTCTGCTTAAACCACAGAATAAAAGTTGCAGTTCTTACGTGCTCTTCAAAATTGCCCTTCCTCTGATCTTCTCACTTGTGTTTCCGAATTATATTATAAGCTCCTTAGATACAGGAACCTAGCTCTGTTTTGATCGCCATTGTAGCCAGAGCAATAGGATGCTTAGTAAATAACTCCCATGGAGCAGAGATGTATTTCATTGTTGGAAAGCTTGCCTAGAATCCACTACTGAGAGGTTGGGAGCACAGTTCAGTCACAAAGCACTAGTCTAGCAAGCCCAAAGATCCTGGGCTCCATCCCAAGTACGACAAAAATAAACACATACATTTTAAAAATAATTAATTAAAAAAGAGAAATTGTTATGAAAGATAATTAAAAAAGAAAAAATTGTTATGTGCAACACGTAAGTCAAACCAGCTCTATCCATATGTCTTAAAACATCTTTCATTTAATTATTTAATTAAGCTCTTCTTTCCACCTCAAGTTAACTCCACCCCATTCTCCTGTCCCAGTAACAAGTTAATTATCGCTTACATAGCACTTGCTGTGTAACACTTAGCTGTGTGCTGTTTTCAAAACCTGACTCATTTGAGCTACATAATAACCTCATGAGGTCAGTGCTAATTATTCCCATTTAGAGATGAAAATATGGAGACACAAAAATATCACGAGCGTTCTGGGAGTCCAACATAGACAATGAACTGGCCTTAAATAATCACAGTGCCGGCTGGGCATGGTCACTCAGGCCTGTCACCCAAGCTACACCAGAGGCTGAGGCAGAAGGATGAGAAGTTCCAGGCCAATGGCGGCTAGCAAGAAGGCTAAGTGGTTAAGAGTGCTCTCCAGCGGTGGTGGCTCACCCGGTTAATCCCAGCACTTGGGAGGCATATCTCTGTGAGTTCAAGGCCAGCCTGTTCTACAAAGCAAGTTCCAGGGCATCCAGGGCTGTTACACAGAAAAACCCAGTCTTAAAAAACAAACCAAACAAAAAAAAAAAAACAAAAACAAAAAAACCCAACAAACAAACACAAAAAAACCGAAACAAAAAAACAGTGTTAAGAGTGTGCTCTCTGCTCCTTGTTTGCCCTGGCACCCACTTGGCGGTTCACAGGGGATCCTTCGCCCTCTTCTGGCCTCGGGAGGTACAGCAGCTACAAGGCACACCAATGTACTTGGAGGCAAAATATCCATATAAATAAAATAATTATTTTTCAAGTTCAAGGCCAGCCAGAGTTACACAGGAAGTTCAAGGCCAGCTGGGCAACTCAGACTCTCAAAAAATTTAAAAAGAGTTTGAAATCTGGCCATGGTGGTACATGCCTGTAATTCTAGCTGTTTGGGAGATAGAATCAAGTCAGCTGCACAGTCAGTTCAAAGTGGACCTGGGCTCCATACGACCCTGACTCAATTTCCCGAGCTCCCCCCCCCCAAACAGTGAATGAGATGTAATTCAGTGCTAGAGCTTGCTTGGCATGCTCGAGGAGCTAGATTCAGGAAAAGAACAAGGAAAGCCTCACCCGGGCCCCTTAACCCCGCCTCCTGGCAAATAGGTTCAGTTGAATATCTGCCAGGACTCCAGGCACACCTAAGCACACCTACTCAGGTCAGCCCAGTGCCCACCACGCCCCCAGGCTCCGCCCCTCCCTCGTCACGCCCTCGCCAGGCCCCCCGCCCACCCGAAGCAAATTCCTAACTCCGCCTCCGCAAAGCACCTCTCCAGGCCACGCCCCCAGTTCCCGCCTCCAGGGCAGCTTCTTAACTCCGCCCCTCCAGAGCCGCTCCGCCTCTCCACACTCGGGCCACGCCCACCTTCCTGCAAGCTGAGGCTCCTGGCTGCAGGTGAATCCTCGCGAAGCTCGCGGACGAAGATTCCTTCTTTGCCGCCACCCGCTACGTTGATGCCGCTGACTCCGGTCTGCGCCTCGGTCTCCACGATAATCTCCACCAACTCGGATCGTCTCAGCTCCTGCAGTGGGAGGCGAGGGGTCGCCATGGTACTCCAGGACAGCAACTCGCCCAAAGCTCGCCATCGTGCTCCTTCTCTAGGACCCGAGGAGCGGTTGAACTGCTCTACCCTCCCACTCGCTCCCACGGAGGATCGGGGTCTGGAGGGGCAAGGGACGGGTTTGGAAGAGGAGGGGGTGGGTGGACAGGGCTAGATCATGGGATGGGGCCTCTTGGAGGGCGGGACTAGGAGTGCCTAAGAGGCATCTTTGAAGCTTATCCTCCCTCCCTCTTCCTTTCTTCCTTCCCTCCTTTCTTCCTTCCCTCCTTCATTTTGAGGCAGGACTCATGTAGCACAGATCTGCCTTGAACACGTTATGTAGACCAGGCTGGCCTTGAACTCACAGAGATGCACCTTCGAGTGCTGGAATTAAAGATGTATACACCATGCCTGACCTTTTGGTTTTTTGAGACAGGGTTTCTTTGTGTGAAGCCTTGGACATCCTGGAACTCTATTTGTAGATCAGGCTGGCCTTGAACTCAGAGATCTACCTGCCTCTGCCTCCCAAGTGCTGGCGTTAAAGATGTATGTCACCACACCTGTCAATGCCCGATCTTTTTGTTTTTAAGTTTTTTCCTTTTTTTTTTTTTTTTTTTTTTTTTTTTTTTAGACTTATTTATTATGTATAGTGTTCTGCCTGCATGTATCCCTGCAGGCCAGAAGAGGGCACCGGATCTCATTACAGATGGTTGCAAACCACCATGCAGTTGCTGGGAATTGAACTCAGGACTTTTGAAAGAGCAGCTGCACTTAATCACTGAGCCATCTCTCCAGCCCCAATGCCTGACCTTTTTAAAGACGTGTGTGTGTGCGCGCGCACGTGTGTGCAAAGTGCATAAGCATATGGGTTCCTATGACAGCTGAAGGAAGGCTTGGAATCCTCTATAGCGGGAGCCGCGATCAATTAGTTGTGAGCAGTCCAGCGTGGATGCTGGAAACTGAGCTCAGGTCCCCTGACCTGTCTCCTTCTTATTTGTTTATTTGTTTATTTCTTTGTTTATGGCAGGGTCTTGTGAGGATCTGGCTGGCCTGAAACGCTACATACACCAGGCTGATCTTTCGGTCGCCATGATCTGCCTGCCTCCATCCCATGTTGACTACAGGTGTGCCCACCAAGATCACCTCTGCCCTTTCCTAAAAGATTAATTTGGCCTGGTCTGAGGTGGAACCCAAGGCAGTCCAACCTCAACCGCCCAAACCCTGGGATTAAAGGCATAAGACAAGAATGCCAACTTGGGTATCCATAATCATATTCTAAAGACAAGGTGAGGCTTTAATAACTGTATAAGTAGCCTAGGGAATTACCCAACCCAGTGGTAGAGGCCATGGCTACATGCACAAAATTCTGGGTTCTGTTCCCAATACAAAACCATATGAAATACTCGATAGCAGTGCAATACAGAACAAGGGCATGCTTCTGGGAAAGGGAGGCAGCCTTCAGCCATGCAGGATGGAAGAATGGGGTCTTGCCCCCTGTGGGTTTAAATATGTGTGAGAATACTGCTGTGAACTTTCTAACTCTGAGCTATGCAGAACTCCCCCAGGAGAGGGAATCCAGGGAAGGGGGGGTGCGTGGGTAATGAATGATGGCCAAAGCAGAAGTGGCATTTGTGGTATTTGCTGGCCCTGGTTCTGAAACACACTAGAGGGTTCACATCTGCTCCCCAGAAGGAGAAGCGAGCGAAGTCTGATTCTGTCTAGGAAGCCACTTTGTTGTGTGCATCTGGGAGAGTGTCATGCACTTTCTGGGCCCTACTGCTCTACTGCAAAGTTGGGTAATAAGGAAGGGCCTCCAGTTATGAAAGAGCCTGGATGGAAGGGGCCAGTGCAAGGCATTGAGACCACCCAGCGTTGGCGCCCATCCCAGAGCATGGAGAGGGAAAAACGGGTCTAGACTACATGCGCTACTGCAGTGGCCTTGAGGAACTAGGGTAGGGCAATATGGAACACAAGAAGACTTGGAATGGGATTCTGGGAACAGCATAGCATGGTCCTTCCACTCCCCTCTGAACACCCTCCCCATGCTTTTTGGGAAGAAGGCAGTGAAGTCTAGAAAGTTAAAGTAACTTGCCGAACACCACACAGCATATTAAACAGCCAAGCCTTGTTCTTAGGTATTGCTCCCAGGGCTCTATAAGCAACGACTCCCTTGCCTGTCACCCTCAGCCTGCATGAGGCTCCTTCGTAAGTAGAGCCGCCCAGCCTGGTGCCTACCTAGGAGAAGGGGTTAAAACGCTAACATTTAATTGAAAAGCAATGACAGCACTGAGGGTTTCCCTTGGCACCAGACTGTGCAGATGGCCAAAAAGTAAATCCTCAAAATCCCCAGAGGTGGGGGCCACTGTCCCATCTCACCAGTGGGGAAGCAGGGGCTCAAAGAGGTTAGAGGTTAGGTCACCTGCCCAGGGCTGCACAGCAGAAGCAGGGTAGGACTGGATTTGCCCCTGTGGACCCCAAGTCCTTGACACTGACCCTATACTTCCCCACCTCTTCTTTGGAGGGGGATATTTTGACTCAGGGTCTTACTCTGTAGTCCAGGTTGGTCTCTAACTCATAGTAGTCCTCCTGCCTCAGCCTCTTGAGTACACATGCCGGGATTACAAGCACACACCCATGCCTGGTTGGTTATACTAGTCTCTTCTGATGAAATATTTCTGTTGAGTTGTTTGTTTTGTTTTGTTTACAAGACAAGGTCTTGAGGCTCTGGCTGTCCTGAAACTCAATATGAATACCACAAGGGTCTTGAACTCACAGAGATCCACCAGCTTCTGCCTCTCAAGTGCTAGGAGGCCTGGGCCACTGTGCCCAGCCATTTTCTCATTTAATTTGAAAAGATTTGGGTGGGAGGGGGCAAAGCAAGAATGAACAAAGAAGATTTTATGTCCATTGGGGTTTTGCCTGCATGTTTGTTTGTGCGCCACACCCCTTGGTGTCAGTGGAGGTCAGAGGAATGTGTCATCTTCCCAGGACAGACAAGAGTTACAAATGTTTGTGAGGCCCTGAGTGGGTGCTGGACATGGAAACATCCTCTGGAAAAGCAGCCAGTACTCTTAACCACTGAGCCATCTCTCCAGCCTCCTGGGTTCCTCTTAAAAGTGTTTTGTTGTTTGTTTGTTTTGGGTTTGGGGGGTTGTTTTGTTTTTTGAGATAGGGTTTTCCTGTATTGCTTTTGGATCGTGTGTCCTGGAACTCTGTAGACCAAGTTGGCCTCAAACTCACAGAGATCCACCTGCCTCTGCCTCCTTCATGCTAGGATTAAAAGTGTGGACCACCATTGGCTGGCCCTTTTAAAAGTTTTATTTACATTCGTGTGTGTGTGTGTGTGTGTGTGTGTGTGTGTGTGTGTGCGCGCGCGCGTGTGTGTGTGATTCAAAGGAATCAATTTTAGGAACTGTGTCTTTCCTTCTATCATGTAGCTCCCAGAGATTGAACTTGGGTTGTCAGGCTTGGCAGCAGGCACCTGTACCCACTGAGCCATCTAGCTGGCCCCTCTGCTGGATATCATCATCATCATCTGTGCCGAGGACTGACCCCAGGGCCTCATGAGAATTGGGGTACTCTACTGCCAAGTGACACTTTTTTACCTTTTTGAGACAGTCTTCCAAAGTTGCCCAGGCTGACCTTGAACTTGAGATCCTCCTGATTTCATCCTTCCAAATGCCAGAATGACAGACCTGTGCCTCCAAGCCTGGAACTCACCATCAGCTACTCAGCTGCTGTGAGGGTTTTTGTTTGTTTGCTTGGTTGGTTTTCGTGTTTGTTTTTGAGGCAGGATCTCAGCTCTGCAGCCCAGGCTGACCTTGAATTTAGAAGCTAAGCTAACAGGCATAAAAGCCACCACACCTATCTGGATGCCCTACACTATGCGGAGCGTTTCCCATGTGTTAATTTCCTCCTTCACATTTACTGTTTCCAGCTTACAGGTGGGGATACTGAAGCCCAGAGAAGCCAGAACGTGTCCCCTTGCCATCCCGGCCAGTGAATACCCACCTCAGCACTACGACTTCTGGACTCCATAGCTCTGCGGAGAGTCGCCTGGCCCTCGGGCTCCTGTTTCCTTTCCTCCTTCTGCTGTAGGACCAGCTTCAGCTCCTCATGGAGCAGCTGCCGCTGAGCCTGGGGGTACAAGATAGAGGCTTGAGGTACGGAGGGATCGTGGGGAGAGGTGGGGTCAGAGCTAGGGTGACATCGGGCAGCCCCTCACCGCTTCCTGGGCGCTGGTCTTTTCTCCTAACAGAAGCCCGGCTCCAGGAGACGCACAGCTGTGAGCAGGGATTTCAGGCTTCCTTGGAGGTCTTGCTGCCTGCCAAGGAGAGACAAGGGACCATGGGACACCAGACAGGCCCGGGGAAGACCGAGAAGGGTGTGTGGTACCAGCCAGCACTCACCTGAGGGTCACCTCCAGCTCCCTGGGCTTCCTGGGTCCGGGGCTCTAGGAAGACAACATACACTGCCGTATTACTCCCTATGCCCCGGTGGCTTCCTGGGAGCCTGACCCGGTGCCCATTCTGGCAATTCTCTGTCCACAGATGCCATATAGTTAGTTCCAGGCCAGCCTGAGAGACATAGTGAGATGCTGTCCCAAAGAATGCAGAGCCGGGCCTGGTAACACATACTTGTAATCCCACCGTGTCTGATTTATTCCCTGCTATGGAGTCAATTCTAGAGCTCTGTGCATCCAAGGCAACCATTCTACCAGTAGGGCTACATTCCCAGCCCTCGCTTTCAGGTTTTTGTTTGTCTTTTCTGTCTTTTGAGACCGGGTTTCTCTGTGTAGCCCTGGCTGTCCTGGAACTCACTCTGTAGACCTCAAACTCAGATATCTGCGGGGGGGGGGGGGGGGGGGGGGGGGCTCTGTAGTGAGATATTCACCCTGGCCACGCCCATTGGGGTGGGGACAGGTGCGGGTGTGACCTGAGTGAGCTAGGTCTGGGGTGGGAGACCCCGGAGCTCTCTCAGGCTGGTGAGAAAGCTGCTCCTAACAAGCCTCTGCCTCCCGGGGATTAAAGGTGAGTGCCACCACTGCCCAGCTTGCTTTGAGTTTTGAGACCGGGTCTCAGTACTTGTTAGCCACAAATTCTCTTTGTAGCTGAGGATGACCTTGAACTCCCTATCCTCCCATTTTAAGCCTCCAAATACTGAGCATATGACACTGGCTTCAGTTTATGAAAACATTTCCTCTTAGAGAGGCCAAGGGAACTTGTACCGGTGTGGAGCCCACAACCCAAGAAGAAGGCACTGAGCGGGCAGCCTGCAGCCAGGCCCTTCTGGGGGTATGGAGGAGGGGACTGTCCCTGAGTTTGACCCCCACCTGGCATGCCAGCCCGCCAACCCCTGCCACACAGGCAAAGGTCAGGCACATGCGGCACATTCCCTCACACAATGGCCTATCTGCTGTGCCAGGCGCATTCTGCCCCTGCCCACCCACCCACCCACCCACCCATCACAGCACAATGGCCCTTCATAGCTCACCACTGGCTTGGAGGAGCTCAGCTGGTAGAGCACTTGTCTAGCATGCACAAAAGGCCCTGGCCAGGCACAGCTTCCCAGCACCACACAAACCCTGCTTGGTTGGGACACAACTATAATCCCAGCACTTAGCAGGTAGAGGCAGGAGGATGAGACCCTCAAGGTCATCCATAGCTTCATAGGCCAGCTACATGAAACTGGGTATCAAAAACAACAAACAGCCCACAGTTGGCTGAACTAGACAAAACACACACACACACACACACACACACACGCACGCACGCACGCACGCACGCACGCTGTAACCACCCCACTGGCTGCCCTCCACAATGTCTGAGGGCTCCTGTCAGCAACACCCAGGGGTCTTAGATTCTGTGTCCAAGCCTCCTTGGTGAGCCTGCAGCTCCCGCATACAAACTGACTTCCCTGTGAGCCAGGCCCCATGAGGGCAGCCACAGACCTGGAATTCACCCTGGAAGTGCTAGTTGCAGATGGCAGAGATCAAGGCTGGAAGAGGAGAAATTAACCTGTTTAGGGTCACATAGCCAGGACGAGGTGGAGCAAAGGCCTGTGCCTTTGACCTCTACTCTATTCCTACCTTAAAGCTCAAATTGCAGAACCACTGGGGCAGGAAGAGTCAAATAGAACGAACTCCAGAGGGTCCATGTCAGTGCCAGGCCTGGCCTATGCAGCCTCATGGGACCCTATTTTATTGGCAAGTAAAGTTGGAGACAGAATGTCAGAAACTGGGTGTGGTGGAATACTCTTGTAATCAAATAGGGTTATGAGTTAGAAGGCAGCCTGGGCTACACGAGACTGTGCCTCAAAAATACTGAAATGTCAGGAATGGGAGGCAGGACGATTTATAGTTTATGACCAGTCTGGGACACATAATGAGTTCTGGGTCAGCCTGGGCTACAGCATGTGACCCTGTCTCAAAAACAAAACAAACAACAAAAACAAAAAATCCAAATCCAAATGAGAGTCAATAAGGTCTGCAGAGAAACCTGAGCCCGACATAGTAGCAGATACCAAGGAGCTTGTTGGAGGCCACATTCCCCTTGCTCTGGGCCTGGACAGTGAGGCTACACCTAGAACCTGACACAGGGCGCCTAGGCAGAGCAGAGGAAGACAGTGTCCTCCCTGTTCATCTGTGCCCGGAACAGCTGCCCAGCCCAGGTTATATTTAGGCCACTGAGCCCTTCCTGAGCCACATGCCCAGCTCCTGGGCAGGGGTGAGGGCAGCTTCCGAAGGAAATGCACCCTCCACGGGCACCCTTTGTTCTCAGAACTACCCATCCCACTAGGTAAGGAAGTTGGGGACAGGCTTCCTGGGAGTCCCTGGTTTGTGTCACAGGAAGAGGGAATGGAATCCTCCTGGTGAATTGTGGCCAGGCAGAACTTTCTGAATGTCAATAGCTCATTTCTTGAGGCACCACCCTAGTATATGCCTGAAAATCTTCCAAACTTTCCAAGGACCCTGTTTCTTGAGCATTCTCTGTGTTAAGGTATAGAAATACAATGTCAGAGATAGGCCTTGGTGGTGCACACCTTTAATCTCAATATTTGGGAGGCAAAAGCAGACAGATCTCTGAGTTCAAGGCCAGCCTGGGTCTACAAAGTTGAATATATGTATGTATGTATGTATAGTCTTTTTAAGTGCTGGATATTGAACTCAGGGCTTCATGGTTACTGGGCAAGCATTCTAATACTGAGCTACCTCTGAGCCTTCTACTCTTCTTTCTTTCCTTTCTTCTTCTTCTTTTAATTATGGGGAAGGACAGGATCTCATGTACCTCAGGCTAGTCTCTGCTCCCTATGTAATCAAGGATGGCCTTGAACTTTTTGATCATCCTCCATGATGCTGGGATTACAGGCTCAATCACACCGGGCTTTATGGGATGCTAGAGGTCAATCCCTTGGCCCCTTGCATGCTAGGCTAAGCACTCCACAAACTGATCTACATTCTCCAACATAGCCCAGCCTTCTTTTTCCCTTTCATTTTGAGGCAGGGTCACACTAAATGGCCCAGGCTGGCCTTGAAATGGGTATGACAGACCCACAGCACCATTTTAGATGCCATTCAAGCCCTTAGGGTGGTTAGGAGGCAGGTGCCATCATATAGACTGACCCTTCCGCCCCTCTCGGCTCCCTCCCGCCAGGAGCTCTGTCTACCCCATGTGTGCATCTGTCCACTCAGAGCCTTGACTTCCCTAAGCCACATGTGATCTGCTGTCCTCAGCAATGGAAGTTAGGCCCGGCCCAGCTCTTCCCGGCCCCTGGGTTCTAAGGCCATATAATGAGCCTGGGAGGAGGCGCCTAGGCAGTGTAGTCTGTGGCCCCGTAGGCTGTCCCAGCACCAGTACATGGAATCATCCTTCTCTTCTGGGGCCTCAGTTTCTTAACCTGTAAGACGCACGGACCCAATAAAATTAGCTTCATGGGCGTGATGCCAGCCTGCAACCCCAGCTCTTGAAACTAAGGTCCCATGATTGTGAGTTGGAGGCAAGTCTGGGCTACTGGCTGAGTTCAAAGCCAGCCAGTCTGTCTTCAGCACACATACACATACACACACACCTCACACACCACCCACATACACATATACCACACACACCACATATACACCCCCACACACACCACACATACCACACCCACCCACACACACGCTACACACCACCCACATACACCACACACACACCACATATACACCCACATACACACACACACAGTGGGTTCAAAAATTTGAAGCAACAGATACTTTGAACACTCCTAGTGCTCAGTAAAAATAAACTAGTTTCTGGCCATAACAGAGTACAGAAGAATGTGCCTATACACTTCTCTCAGAGTCGGTCATGTTTGTATGTTTGACACTGTGTCTCCTAGAAGTCCAGACTGACGTCACACTCCCTACATAGCTGGGGATGACCTTGAACTCTGGTCCTCCTGTCTCCACCTCTAAGTGCCGGGATTACAGGCTTGAACCACCACACCCGCCTTCCATACCCAGCCTTTGCACCACAGCAGCCCCCAGGCTCCTCCCAACCAACCTTCAGCTTGAGTCCGGCCTCCTACCAACCGATAGTGCTACCTCTCCAGCTCCCACTTTCAAAGACCAAGAACCTTTTCCCTGCAGCCAGGCACGGGGGGCCTCCATCTGCCCAGTCAGGAGGAGTTGTGCACTCCCAGGACCCATGAGACTAAGAGGAGAGGGCTGTCAGGAGTCCAAGGCCAGCCTGTGCTATATAAAAAGACCCTGAGACCCTGTCCCCAAAAGCAAGGCAGGAAGGGCTACAGAGGTAGGGGACTAGCTGGCAGAGCCTTGCTTAGCATGCACGTGGCCTTGTATTCCATCTCTGGCAACACCTAAACTCAGCATGGTGGTGCATGCCTGTGGTCCCAGCACTTGGGAGCTCAGAGTTTCCACCTTACTCTCCGCACATCAACGGGAGGCCAGCCCCTCAAAGACCACCACCCCAAGAAGACGGGATTTGAACTCAGAGCCCATGACTTTGATTGCTCTGTCCCCCTCTCTTCCCAGCCCCCCCCCACCCCCGAACCCTAGGTTGTGTTCCTGGGGCTACTCAGCCTGGCCAGGGGACTGTTATTTCTTTCTTACCGGTGAGCCTTCAGACACCTGCGAGCTCCTGGTCCTTCTGTTCAGTCCCAGCCTTGGGCTGGGAGGGAAAAGGCATGGGAAGGGGGGGAGGAAGGGAGGGGCCTTGGCTGCATTGCCGTGATGTCACCAAAGGGTGGGTTGTGGGGAAACAAACATCCCCTTCTCTGAGCTGCATCCATCTATCTGCAAGGGGGTGGGGATATGGAAACTCCAATCTCTGCCTCGCCAGAGCACAGACTTCCACCCCAGTCCTGGCTCAAGAATTTGCATACCACCCCCACTAGGAGACCCAGCACACTGCCCCAACCATCTCTGGCTCCTGGACCCAGGCCTAGCCCATACAGTTCCTGG